AAATGTATGCTATGTCTTCTAATGATACTGCCTAAGGGAAGCATGTATAATGTAAACAGAATTGGTCCTAGCACTGATGTATTGTTGGGAATCATTGCAATAATTCTTTCAAGGCTTCAAACCAGAAAATAAAAATATCTGAAATATCTCCAAAGCTACTTCATGAATACTAGAGGTAAAATAACCTGTGCACAGCAGAAGCGGGAGAAGCCAGTCATCTAAATGTAAAAAAATAAAAATTCTTAGTAAAAAGCAACATTTAGCAGAGCACTCTGCCCCCTTCCCCCATACTACACAATGTAAAACAGATAAACAAATATTTTGATGGGGTTTTGTTGTTGTTCCGTTCCGTTTTGTTTTGTTTTTTATTTGAGGCAGCAACAAAATCTAACTCTTTTTAACAAACTGGAATATGAACATGTGTACAATTCACACATGCAAGTAGTGAGAAAATAAGATTAGGTTGTTGTACCTCACTGTACCTAAAAAAAAATGACACCAAAACTGACACTGCGAAAAAGGTATACCATAAAGTATAATCTGCTGTGGAGTTTGCAGATTGCAAAGTTGTTCACTTTGAAATTATGTAATAACACCTTCAAAGGTCAAACGCCAGCATTTACTGTGGCTGTGTTTGAATTTAAATAACAAGGAATGTATATGACCGGAGGCTTTAAAAAAAGCTACAGGGCAGATTAAAACCTGCATTCTTCCTCTGCTAAACAGCTTTAAAGGGACTAAATATGATCTTGTGGACATTTGTGATTGACAACAAAGCATAGGCTTTGGTGTGTTGGGGGGTCATATTAATCCCCAGATTTGCAAGTAAAAAGTTGTTTTGTTTTAGCATCTTGCATCATGAACTGGATCAATAGGGAGATTCAGCTGTAAATGAAAAGTACAAAGAAGTATGACCGATTATGTTTGCTAGCTATGTTTGTCACTATGTTGGACAACTTTAATTTAAATTCTTTCCATTTAAATCCTTTTGGATCTTTCTCACATTTATTCTGAAATATTAAATTCTATGACAATCCATCATTTTTAATCACCACATTGTAAGTTGGAAATTTCAGCAATACTGTAAAAGAGGACTCACTACGGCCACAAGTGATATTTACAGGAAAGACATTTGGATTTATTCAGCAGACAGTTGCATAAATGGTTTTGTGATAAAATCACTGAAAGATATATATATATATATCAGAATCAGAATCAGAATCAGAAAGGGTTTTATTGCCAAATGTTGAGC